TGGAGGGCTGAATGTTTCTAAAGTTCTTGGGCTAGCTGGACAGATTTATTTTCTAAAGGGTTGGACTTCCTGTCATGCTGCCCGAGTTCTGTTTGCCTCGCGTGGGCCCCCTGAAGGTGACCAGAGGTCAGCCACAGGGAAGGCCCCTCCCCATGTGTCCCTGGTTTCCTCTTCCCTTGGGGCCTCCGGTGGCCTGGGGCTTCAGGGAGCCAAGGACCAATCTCAGCACAGACGTTTAATCCTGGGGGTCCCAGGACTGCTGAGAGGGAACAAGAAGGGGGCTTAAGAAGGCTGAGGGAAGACAAGAGAAGGGCTTGGGACTCTGCATATATATCGTTATCTTCTAGCCCCAAGTCCCAACGTTTGGGGCCACAGTAAAAATGGCTCAAGCAGGCATTGTGGGCAAGGTGAGAGTGCACGGCTGTGCCTTGGGCAGGTACAAAACTGACCCAGGTGAGAACAATCAGATACTGAGCAATCAAGGCATGATGTGACCTAGGCGGCTGCCCTCCCCTCCCCCTGCCTCCCATCAGCCATCCCTGCTTCGTTCTCTCACGAACACTCCATTGCCAATTCATTCTCCCTGCCTCTGGTGCTGCTTTTCTTTCTCTCTCTTTTTTAAGTTCTGCAAGCTTTGGGACTCCCAAATTCTCCACTTTGCCTAAAGTTTGAATGCTCCAGTTTCTGTGTCAGGTAAGTCCTGGCTTTGAATGAGGGTAAAGAAGACCCTTCCTTTTCTTACCCGAGGTGCCCTGTACCGTAGGCATCAGCTTTGGGGGATGTAGGCATTGCTTTGAAATCACTGGGAGACCACCCTTTCAGTTACTGTTATGAGGACAGGACGGTCTTCCATGCTGATGTTTTGTGGAAATGGCCCAGAACTGGGATTGAGGGGATTTCTGGGTTGCCTCCCACCCACTTTGGGACCCTGGGCATGGAAATGCCCTTCCTTTTCTGGCCGCAGTTAGTTCAGAGAGGGCGTGGCCTAGATGGTTCTATGATAGATACCCGCAAAGGGGTGTTCTTATCCACATCCTGTGTGAATAGGGCAGTCTCTTGTAATTCTGGGATTGTCAGACGAGCATCACCATCGAGGGACTTTTTGATGACTCTTTCTCCAGATTTCCTTTTTGTGTCCTTCCCTTTCTGGGTCCCTCTGTCCCTGTTCCTGTCCAGCATGGTCTCCCGCCCTCTCTGGCCACCACCCTAACACTCCATGTCTGCCCCTTTGCTTCCTTCTCCTACCCCTCAGGGCTTTGGGGCAGGACCCTTGAGGCCAGGCTTCTCCTCTGTTCAAATTCTCTGCCCTGGAGCAGACCTCCCAGGTGCCAGTGTTTCCAGAAGGACTTTCTAGAGACCATGCCCCCATCAAATACAGGAGATAACCTCAAGGTGACACTTTCTGGCAGGTGAGCTAGAGACAGGCAAGCCAATGAGGGAGTCTGGGAAGCAACATGGGCCGACTCTCCTCCTGGCCCAAGGCTCTAAGGGGAGCCTTTCATCCGCTCCTTGCTGCCTTTGCATTCAGGGCCTGGCTGCCTGTTTGTTCCTAGTTGAAAAGACTTCCTGCAAAGTTCACCGCCATGGACCTCCAGCTGTCTGGACCTCTCCAGTGCCGAGGGCTCTTCCATCAAGCCTCACAATGCACAGGATTGAGAGAAGGGTTTAAAGCAGGGAAACCCTCCTCCCATCCCTCAGGGCTCCCCGGTAATGACCCCGTTCTCTGATGTGAAGAGCCCAGCCCCCAGAGCAGTCAGGCCTTAGGGACCTCTTAAAGCGAGTGTCCTGGGGCTTTGGCTGTCCCACAGAGGGGCCTGGAGCCCCAGCCGCTCAGCCTCTGACAGAGGGGCCTGGCTGAGGCTTAGTAAGGCCCAGCAATAGAAAAGCATGTTCTAGCTTCCTCCAGTCCTAATTTCTCAGACTTGTCTTCAGGAACTTTGGATTTAGTTCTCCCTCAACCCATGCCAAGATCGGGCTCTTTGGAACTTATTCTTGTGGCAGGAGGCCTCCCTTTGATGACTGTGTCAAATGAGATGGAGCCTGGCCAGGTTGTTATAGGAACTCGGGAGAATCCCTGGAGTGGGAAAATAATGAGAACACGGGGCCATTCACCATTCAGCGCTGGAAAGTAGAGCATTCATTGTCCCATGGCAGAGGCTGTGGCGTGGGAGGAAGCAGGCTTGGGGTGGGGAGCTTGCCGCATCACTGCGAGGCCTTAGGGGGGGGGGGGGGGGGGGGGGGGGGGGGCACTCAGCAAGGGTCTGACTAAACTCTGGGTACAAAAACTAAACTTCTCATGTTGTGGCCATGTGACCTTAAAGAAGTTAAAACAATCAACACGATCCCATTTTGTTGAAAAACAAATGCATTAAATCCAGGAGGAAAATCATCCTCACTCTGTTTAAACCATTCTCACTTCTGCGTGGTTATCTCAGTAGTGTGTTGCTGAGGGATTTAAAACAATCTTTTGTGCTTAACTATTGTTTTCTGACATTCTCTCTAAACAGCATGGGTTAGTTGCCCCACCCCCACCCCACCCCTGCCAAAAAAAATCCCACCAAGCTATCTCCACTTTGGAAACAGATTCTGGGAAGAGACTCTGGAATTTTGGAATTGATATACACACCTTTGAAGGGGGAGGGGCAGTACTCTCCTGCAGTCAGGCTGCTCGTTAAGTAAGAAGTTTCCCTGCTCCCTGATGCGCTGGATTAGACCAGTGTCCACAGGTACTTCACCTGCTGGCCTGATGGGTCACGTGGTCTGACTGGCTTGTCTGGGCCCACAGGGAGTCCGGCTGTTCCTTCCCATCCTACCGGACTGCCCCATCCGCGGGCTCAGCAAACACCCTGTCTGCCCCCTGGAAGCCCTCCCTGGTGTTGCATGCTGCCTTCAGACCAGGGGGCTTCTGTTGAGGTCTCTGCATTTCCATCCTCAGCTAGCCTTGTCCTTCTATCAAAAGGGGGAAAAAAAAAAAGAGGGGGGAACAGGGCAGCTTCACTGGGTTTCTTTACCCACAGCGGACAACACTGATGTCTGGGTCCCTCGCCTAACCTTGACATAGGCTGCCTTCTATGGCTGTTGTCTGTTTCTTGTTAATTTTTTGAGGTATAGCATACATACGATAAAATGCACAAATCCCAAGTTTATGGCTTAATACATTTTGACTTATGTTATACCCATGTAACCACCACTCAGATGAAGACATTGGACATTTCCATTACCTCAAAGGGTTCCCTCATGCCCTTTCCAAGTCAGCACTCTGCTCCACCCCCCCACAAAGTAACACTATCATGACCTCCACCATGTTAGTTAGATTAGCTTTGCCTGTTTTTGAACTTTATACATACTCTTTGGCATCTGACTTCATTATGTATATCAGCCTTTCATTGCTATGTAACAGATCACCCCGAAATATAGAGGCTTCAAACACTATTCAGTTCTTTTGCTCACTGGTTTTCAGTTTGGGCAGGGCTCATAGGGGATGGTTCATTGCTGTTTCATGCGGTGTCTGCTAGGGTGGTTTGATGGGGGGCAGGGAAAGTCCATTTCAAGATAGCTCACTTGCATGGCGGGCGAGTTGGTACGGACTGTCAGCTGATAGCGCAACTGTAGCCATGGGCCAGCGCCTCGGTTCCTGTCCAGGTGGGTCTCTCCATATGCTGCTTGGGCTTCCTTACAGTATGATGGCTGAGTTCCAAAAGAGTGACCATCCCAAGAGAACAAGGTGGAAATGCAAGGCATTTTTGTGACATAGCCTCAGAGGTCACATAGCCTCACTTCAGCCGTACTCTATTTGTTGAGACAGTCATGAAGGCCTGCCCAGGATCAGCGGGAGGACACATGGACTCTACCTCTTGAGGGGGATGTAGGAATGTTCTAGAAGAGAATGGGGCATGGCAGATATTGGAGTGTCCATCTTTGGAAAATACATTTTGCCACATTATGTCTGTGAGATTCATCCATGTTATAATGTGTCTTTGTAGTTTGTTTTTTAAGTTGTTGTGTAATATTTCATTGTGTACATATACTACGATTTACCTATCCAGTCCACTACGGACATTTGGATTGTTTGCACTTTGCAGCTATTTGAATAGTGCTGCTATGAATATTCTTTTTTTTTTTTAAAGATTTTATTTATTTATTTGACAGAGAGAGAGAGAGCACAAGCAGGGGGAGCAGCAGAGGGAGAGGGAGAAGCAGGCTCCCTGCAGAACAGGGAGCCTGATGCGGGGCTTGATCCCAGGACCCTGGGTTCATGACCTGAGCCAAAGGCAGACGCCTAACTGACTGAGCCACCCAGGCCCCACTGAATGTGCTGCTATAAATATTCTTATATAAATATTTTGGTGGACAAAGGCTGCCTTCTGTCACTGTTGCTGTCTCTTTAGCTTTTAAGATTTTACACATGATACAATTCTATCTTCTTCTTTTCCCTCTCTCTCCCCATCAGTTACTGTAACCATATGCACTTTAGTATGTAAATCTCTGCTAGTGTTTTTAAAATGTTGAAAAAAAATTATATGAGTATTACAGAAATATGTTATCTTTATAAAAACTTTCAATATTGCAATTAAGATTAAATTTCCTCCTGACACCCCTTGCCAAATCTGGACCCTTTCCTCCTACCCCAAGGTAACTCCTGTCACTAATTTGGTGCATCTCCTTCTAGAGGTTTCTTGATGCATTTATACACATAAATATTCTCATAGAAAATATTGTTTTCTATGTGTGTGTGGGCTTTGTTTGGTATAATGAATGGCATCATACGGCTCTGCAATTTATTTTCTCACTCAAAAAAATATGTTGGAGATGGAATCACATGCAGATCTATTTCACTTTTTAAACTGCCCAATAATATTCCACAGTATTATCAGACCACTGTCATTTAACCATTTTCCTATAGAAGGACACTTAAATTGTATCCTTTATTGTTTGCAAGGGAAAGAGTTGCAGGAGCCCTGGATCTGTGCCCCTCGATGTCTTTTTTCTTTCCTCTGCAGAGACGTCTCAGAGAGGCTGTGCAGCTGCTGGAGGACTACAAGCATGGGACCCTGCGCCCAGGTGTCACCAATGAACAGGTAATTCTGCTGGAAGTGGGGGGGAGGGGGCAGGAAGGCAGCAAAGTCACATCCCCTTCCCTGCAGCCAGAACCACTCTCTTTCCTTCATTATCCACTTCCATGCTATTACATAGCCATGTGGACTTCTGGCTTTTTGGAGGAGACATTCAGTTCTCTCCCATACCGTGGGTCTCGTGGAAAGCATGGAGGCTGATAAGGCAAGTGAGACCCAAAGGCAGTAGTTTCCTGGAGCTGATGTGTATATCTCTTCCCACTTCCACATTCAGTGACATCACAGTGGTAGCTTGAAATCAGCCATGTGGGAATATTTCTACCATGGAAATTAGCAAATGCATCAAATCAGGACTTTCTTCCCAAAAGAACTGATTTTTAAACATTTACTAGTATACCACTACTCAAAAGTTCAGGTTGAGGATGGGAAAGACAGGGGAGGATTAGTGGGGATTAGGCTAGAACACTAATTTCATTTTTCTTTTTTTATATCAGTTAGGAACCTGAACTAGAGCTAAGTGAAATGTTAATGGTTGTGTTTGGTTATAGGGACTGAGGTTTAACATGCCAAAGTTTTTCTTTTTGTTTACAAATTTTATTTCAAAATCTTTTAAAAAATTAATTTCGTACTTTTTTTTTTTTCAGAATAATATGTGCTCAGGGGCACCTGGGTGGCTCAGTCGGTTAAGCATTTGCCTTTGGCTCAGGTCATGATCCCAGGGTCCTGGGATTGAGCCCTGAGTTGGGCTCCCTGTTCAACAGGGAACCCCCTGCTTGTGCTCTCTTGCTTGCTCTCTCTCTCAAATAATTCAATACATAAAATCTTTAAAAAAACCCACAAAAGTAATATGTGTGTATAGTTCAAAAAATCAAATAGTACTAAAATATCTGAAGGAAAAATAGTATGCTGCCCCATCCCTCCTCAATTCCCATTTTTCTCCAGAAACAAATACTTTTAGCCACTTCTTCAGATAGAAATCGATGTCAAACTAATATGCTTATCTATAGTCCTATTTTTCACCTAGTTATTTTGTATTCAGCTGGATTCAACTGTCTTGTTATTTACCCCCATTAAAAAACACACATCTCTTCCCCATCCTCCTCACTCTCCCAAAATAGTTATTATGGATTTGGGGGTTTATGGGTATTCACAAGTCACATTATTACAATGATATAAATAGCATTTACTAATTTTTGTTTTCTCTCTTGTTCAACTTTATGTTTTACCTGGAGTTAATGATTGCCTTAGTTTTTCACAATGGCATGGTTTTCTTTATACCGTCTCTACCTCTTACTACATCCTCTAGCAGCCTTTTGATATTTTCAGTGCCTCCTTTCAATCTGAAGACTCCTGTCCTTCAGTTCCCTTTCCCCTCTGAAATTTTCCTTTCTGGTATCCAGCTCCTCCAGCTCCAGGCCTTCCTGTTGGTGTACACTTTCATTTTGGTGGATGACCTCTTTTAGTAGCATCCTAAAAAAAGAGTAAATGGGAAGAAAATTGTGAGTCCTTTTATGTCTGAAAATTAATTCTGCACTCAGTGTTTTTCTTTTTAAGGCTTTTTTTTTGGGGGGGGGGAGAGAATGGGGAAGGGGTAGAGAGAGAATCTTAAACAGGTTCCATGCCCAGTACAGAGCCTGATGCGGGGCTTGATCCCACAATCCTGAGTTCATGACCTGAGCAGAAATAAAGAGGCAGACGCCAACCGACTGAGCCACCCAGGCACCACTGCACTCAGTCTTAATTGACAGTTGGCTGAGAAGAAAATTCTAGGTTGACAGATATTTTCTTTCAGAATTTTGAAGACATTGCTCTATTGTCTCTCACGTCAGTATAGCTTTTGGAAATCTGATACATTTCATTTCTGATTCTTTGCAAGTAACCCATTTTCCCTCTTTGGAAATCTTTAGTATGTTTTCTATTACATTTATTTCAGAAATTCCACAATGCCATCTCTTTTAAAATTCACTATTTTGGGTTCCTGGTGACCCCTTTTAATCTGAAGACCCCTACTGTCAGTTCTGGCAAATTTTCTTATACTGTTTCTTTGATAATTTCTTCTTATTCTGCAGTTCCTATTAGTCAAATATTCAACATTTTAGATTGATACTTAGATTGTCTTATATTTTTTTCTCTTCTCTTCCATCACTTTGTCATTCTGTGTGGCTTTAAAAGAAATTTCCCTGAGTTTATTTTCAGCATATTGACTAAAATTTTAACTTCAGCTAGTATAATTTTAATTTCTAAGAGCTCTTTGATTGTTTATTTTTAAAATTCTTCTTAATAGAATTCTTTTCCTGTTTTGTGAATACAGTAGCCATCTTATCTCTCTGCATTCTGGAAGCCACGTAGGGAGAGGAGGCTGGAGTCCCAATATTCGCTTTGCAGACTTTCATTAATTTCCCTGCTTTGAATCTCACCTACTCCCATCCTCCACTGTGCTGGTGTTCCCAAGTCTGGGATCACTTGGGTTCAGTTTCTCCAGAAGGTTGATAAACCTCCAGTATCTGGGGAACACGGGTGAGAGTGGTAAAAGTCACCTTGCTATATAGCAAAGACCTTGGGATCTTACTGCTTTGAGGACAGACTTTTAACCAATTCCCTGTGTTTAGCCTTATGATTAGCCCTTTTTCCTAAGGTACCTGGTCCCTCTAAGTCTTGAGGTCTGCTGGTGTTTTGAGGGCAGTTGACTGGTTCTTTAAGCATGGGCTCTGCAGGCACTTAGGGGATGGTTTCTTCCTCTCTACTGGATCAGTTACTAAAACTCTACTTATTTTCCATCCAAAACCATGTTGTTGTCCCTCCTCTGCTGTTGTCTCCTCTTCCATTCTTTTGGTAACTGTATGAGGCACTTCCCTTGCCTTCTAACACCCTTAGGTGCAAAGCCCATGCTGAGGCTCTGGGCTGCCAACATGACACACTAGTAGTGCTTGGCTGGATGTTCCTGGAGTAAGTGGCTTAGCCCTCAGCTCTCCCCAGCCCAATTCATTTAATATGTATTTATGTATTTATGGAGCACCTGCAGGCCAGTTTTGGTGCTGGAGCCTGGGGGAGAGAACAAGGAACAAAGTAGACGAGAATCTTGCTTCATGGACCCCCAGAATCTAGGGAATGATTGTGAAAAGCCATGATACTGTAGGAGAGCAGAGGAAGGTGTAACCTGCCCAAACTGTTTGGAAGAGATTCTTGCCTGAGATTTGAGGAATGAGAAGGGGCTGGCCAGGAGATGCCGTGGATAGGAGCTGTCCAGGTGAGGAGGCACATCCTGAGGAGAGACAGCAGGCCCCTCCAGGGGAAGTCCAGATGAATGTGCTCGACTTGGCCACTTGAAAGGAGGGCAAATGTGTGAGCTGATGGAGCACCTTGGCCAGACGTCCTTGTGCAGGGCCCTGGGGGGTGATGGGAGATGGGACAGTGCTGGCTAGACAGCGTCTGTCTTTAGGCATCTGTGCTGCCATTAGGAAGGACAGGCCGTGACCAAATCATCCCTGAGCACAGTACTTCCCTCTGGCATTGGCACTGAGGAGCCTGGATGGCATGACCTGACATGCCCTCCTTAGACCAAAGTGGTGCTCAAACCTCTGCAGTTCCTCTTGGACCTGTCAGGGGTGAGTTCAGCCCCCCGGCCCTTCACCCTGCGGCGCCTCCCAACCCAAGCTCCCTCTAGCTGAGGTTGGCCTCTTGGGACTCCCTCCAGCATCCAGAGTTTGGCAAATGAGGCCACGTTTCTCCTCTCTACTCCCTTCAGTAGCTTAAAGTTGCCTGTCCTGTTTCCTGGGCCTCTTTTGTTTTTTGTGCTGAAAGCCCCTATGTGCCTCCAGGGAGCTGGGAGGAGGGGCGGTGGGGGGGGCGGATCTTGGCACTAGCCGTGCTTCCCAATTCTGGCTCCTGTTGGTGATGCCTGCAGTGTCCATCTGGTGGGTGGGTAGCACAGTGCTCTAGGTGTGAGCCTGCTGCTCGGCCCCCTTACTAATCAGATCCTCCCTCTCCCTCCCTTTCTGGTCCTCCTGGCTCTCCAGATCATCAGGGATTGGACTATATGGACTCAGATTACAATGCTTCCCCCACTTGGGCCTCCTCTACAAAGCTGCACCCCCTCTGGCCTCCACAGACAGGAACCGGATGGGTGGGTGATGGCATTTAAGCCCAGGGTTTGGGGAAGCCTCAGCAGTCTAGAGTTAACGGTGGTCCCCCCATTCCTGATCCAGGCTGGCCCTGCTCACGAGTCATGTCCAGGCCCAGGGTAGCTCTTGATCTCAGCCTGGACAGCTGCCTCATCTACCCTGGGCTCTGTGCCTGCTCCGACGTCCTTTTGCAGGCGTGTGGATCAGAAGCCTGTGGCTGCCTCCTGATGCCTGTGGGCCTGTTCCCATGTCACGGGCAGCACTGGGTAACCTGCCTACCAGTTTGTTATCTAACCCAGCCTCCGGTTATGCCATCTCACCAGCGGGTATACACAAGTGGATTGCTAGTCTGTTCACACCTGATGGCCTTTGTTTGGTCTTCTATTAGTGGGTGGCTGATATCTCCTCCAGAGACTGTTAACTTGTTAAAAGGTTGCTATACTAGTGAAAAATTGTCCTTAGGATAAAATAAAAATAAGTAGAATTTACCCTTTGGGCTTGACAAGTAGAAATTTGATGTGCTGGGATCCCCAATAAAGACTGTAGCTCTCAGTTATACGACAAAGCCATAGATGAGAGCAAAAGTGTAAGCATAGGCAGCTGGACTAGATTTCTGGATATTGACTCTGCTGTGGGCACTTTATACACCAGAGTTTTGCTGCGATGGTTGGGTGTGCATGGAGATGGGTGGGGTTAAAGGTGAGAGACCCCCTTATGGTAACGAGCCACCACTCACTTGGTGCTTACCGAGTTCCAGGCATTGCCCTAAGTATTAATGCTTTACACGTATTTCAGTTAATATTCACAGGAACTCTCTTTGGTAGGTGCCTGTATTAACCCCATTTTACAGGAAAGAAAACTGAGTCTCAGAGAGGTTACATTTCT